GCGGCCGGGCCGGCGCGGAAGCCGCTCTCACCCTCGGAGCCCCCGGCCGCCCTGGCCGACGGGGCGGGCGCCAGCCTCCCCTCCGCGGGTTGATTCATCTCGGGCCCCGGGAGGTCACGTCTTGTGAAACCACCTGTAAACGCCACCCAACGTCCAGTGCAGCGTGTGAAGACAGCGCCAAGAATGGAAACGACGCTTGAGTCAGCACGTGTAAACGCCCGGCTCCCTGTAGCAGCGTTTTCACACGTCTGAGCGCAGAGGGTGGAGAAGGGAGCCTGGTTGCCGCCACCTTTCACGCCCTGTAACATTTTTATTTTATTTTATTTATTTTTTTCCTGTAACATTTTTAAAGGGTAGAGAAAAACACCCTAACAACACCGAAGTGGCAGCTCCCCTAGGGCGGGAAGAACAATTGGCATTTAAAAAATTTGTGGGTTTGGCCCTCATGTCCGAGTGTGGCATTCGACTGCCAAAACTTTTAACTTGCAGGCTTAGATCTGTCGATACACAGAACTGTTCAGAAGAACAACGCTGAGTTTACCTAAGAAGTGACATTGATTGACAAGTCTATTGTGTTATTAATTCTTAATGTCTCATCCAAGACGGGAATCGTGATCTTGGGTTTGCAGGTAGGGGGAAAAGGTTGGGCACGGAAAAGCATTTCCCTTAAATCCACACACAAAGCAGTGGGAGCTGCAAATTAAGCCCTGGCATCCTGACGGCTCAGCTGCTTCCCCATGTAGACCAGGTTACAAAACAAATGAGTAGTTACTTTGATGTCCCTCATAAAATGAGGGAGTAAACCAAATGTCCTGTGAACGTGAAGTGTTAAATCCCAATAGCCTCCATGTTTGTTCTTTGAGAGGCGCAGCTACCCTTTGGAGTGTGCTACCTTACAGAAAGGTGGGAGGGGCTGGAGCAAAGGGATGGAAAAGAACATTCCAGGGAAAATTCCTGGCTCCCAAATCCCAACTGTGCCCATCTTTACTGCCCCTCTGTGTTGATGGCACCCTTTGCAGGGTACTCCTTGATCTGTCCAAACACCAGCGCTCAAGCCCCATTAACTGCGCCTCTGTATACGCAGAGCTCAGTGATCTCAGTCAGTCTTTTTCCTGTGCTGCTCTTTACCGATGGATGATGCCCTTCTGTGAAAACCAGTCGCTGCTGTTCAAGTGGGGAATGATTTGTCACTCCTGGAGGGTGATTCTAGCGTTCATGACCCAAAACTACCGAAGGATGAGTTATGGAAACACAGGCAACTCTTGTGGGCTTTGGGCTCAGCTGACAGGGAAACCCTCTGATCCTTCCGCTTCCCCCATGTTGCTCATAACTGGAACGCAGCAGCTCAGTCTTAACTTAGCTGGAATGAGAGAAAGGGGAGCCTCTTATTTAGACTCTAGTGAATTTGAGGTTTCTTTCCTAAGAAGACTCCATTTGGGGCCGCTTGGAACAAGAAGCTTTTGTAATGCGTTTAGAATACAGACTGTTTGGCCACTTGTACGTCTGTCCATAAAACTTGTCTAAGGATGTGTGTGATGACCCTTCCTTGTAAGAGGCATCCCTGAGATTCCTCCCCAACTGGTGGACAGCAGAGATTTGAACTGCAAGTAGTTTTTTGCTCCAGAACACCTAGTTAGTTGATTCATCCTTCTGTTATCTTCTTCTCGGTTAGGATCTCAGGAAAATCAAATGGCTTCTGAGGATTTCTGCTTACCTGGAGATGGGATGGAAGAACTCAAACAAGGTATGGATAGAAATTAGTAAGAGGTTAGAGGACTTCCCCAAAGAGCCTTACTCAAACTCTTGCCCTCGGTAATAAAAAGGACTTTATAATGTTCCCGAGTTGAGTTCCGGCAAGCCCAAGGATCTGGATCATGAAGATTCTTGGACACTTTCATCTTGAAAAACATTGCCACAACTCCGATTCAGGATGTGCTTGTGCAGGGGACAAAACTCAAGCTCCTCCCATAATGCATTAGCAAATGTGTGCTGCAGATAAGGACAGCAGCAAATTCTTGAAGGGCTTCCTTCTTACCTTGTTTACATGTTTTCACATTGTATCCTCTAAAATCTTAAGATATTGTATGTCTTAAACCCTGTGTCTTGAATTCTTCAAGAACAGCGGTGTTCTTATATCTTGACCACTCCCGCATTGGAGTCCTTCCACGTCTTGTTAGCGCCATCAAGTTGACATCCAGCCCGTGGTGCCTTCATGCACCCTGGGACAAAATGTGTCTGGGCCCTGCGCTATGCCTGTGATTGGTTGCAGATTTGGATCGTTGGGGTTGTAGGGTGTTCCTTGGCTGACTTTTCAGCACCAGGCCTTTCTTGGTAGTCCATCTTAGTCTGGAAGTCCCACTGAAACATGTTTGCCTCCAGTGATGCCATAGTGGTGACTCTGCATAAGGCGCAGTGGTTCAGAATGGACCCCAGATCTCCCACGTGGGAGGTAAGACATCTACTGAACCCCCATGACCCCCTTCCAACATCTTGGGGAAGAAAATGGTAGATAGTTCTTATTCTCCAAGAGGACTTTGGATATAATGGGCCAAAGAACGAAACAATGTGTGGTAGTAAGTCGGAGTAAAGCAAAAGACCCCAGCCACGGGTGGACAGGAAGCCATCCTGTGGGATGTGGGGTGGCCAGGGGAGTCCAGTCACGTGCAGCTTTTTTCTCATGCTTTAATGCCATTCTGCCAAGTCCGCTTGGGTCACTCACCTCCGCCTGCACCGGTGCGCGTTTATGGTGAAGCCGCGTGTGGACTCACGCTAGTACACCTCTCAAGCCGGCGTACGTGACCAGAGAGCACATCCAGAATTGGAACGTGGCATACGTGTGTTTCGTGGTTTTCTTCCCCGGTGAACTCCAGTTACTCTGTGTGAATGAGGCCCTAGGGGTATGGTGGTGACCCTTCCTAAAGGGGCCTTTATTCTCAGTGCTATTTGTCTGCTACTTTCCAACTTTATTTCTGTTTCCTCAGATCTTTATTAGGAGTCCTGGTAGCAGGATGGCTAGCCCTTGCTTGCCAACGTCGGGTCAGTGTTTCAAACCCACCAGCTGTTCCGCGGGAGAAAGGACCTGGTGATCTGTCCCCATAAAGATGGGGCAGCCCATCCTTGTCCCCTGGGAAACTGGGGCAGCCCTGCTCTGCCACATGGGGTCACATAGACTCGACAGCACACAGTTCAAGGCCCGTTTCCTGATTCTCACTTCATATTCTTGTAAACTGCTACATAGCTACTACCCAGCTGTCAGTTTACTGTGGGGCATACACGGTTCTACGACGCTGGAACTACGGTGCTGTTTGACTAGTTTTTCCAACACCAGCAGCGTCACACATGATGAACAGGTTTCAGTGAAACTTCCGATTCTAAAAGACCAGGAAGAAAGGCTTGGAAATGTTCTTAGTGAAAACCCTGTGAATGACCACAGAATGCTGTCTGAACCAGCCCGGCACCGTGATGGACACCTGTGGACGGAGGAGGGAGAGGCTGGAGGATCTCTGGAGGCCCAGGAGTCGTGGGCTGTAGTGTGCTCTGCCGATTCGGTGTCTGCACTGAGTCCAGCCTCAATATGGTGACCTCCCAGAATGGGGAACCAACCAGGTCAAAATATTTGTCTGATGCAGTGCTAGCAGATAAGTTGCAAGGCATGCAAATACCCGGTCGCTCCTACAACAGACTCAGCTCTTGCAGTGATCACAAAGGTGACCTGCAGCACCAGGCAGGCATCACCATGAGCTGTAGCGTGCTCGGCGGGCACGCAGAACAATAACAGCAGCATGGCGTAGATAGATGCTGGCAATATTGAGTACTCCCACCAGGTTATTTGTGGGTTTAAAAAAAAAAAAATCTCGTTAGATTTAGAAATCTGTCAACAAATCTTGTTTCTGGAAGTGAGTATGAATTGTGGATAGTTATGTAAAAGTTCAAGCCCATACCTTCTGTGCACTTTTGTCTCTGAAGTCTGCAGTAAACAGCTTCCTCCTTGCAACCTGAGTGAGGAGGACCTGCTGCGGAACCCGCACTTCAGCAGGCTGCTGCTGAGACTCTCCCAGCAGGTGGATGAAAGTGGGCTGAGCCTCACCCTGGCACAGGAACAGGCTCAGGTAAAGGCCCGAGAGAAGGCATGCCGAGAGGAGGGAGCTTCCCCGAGAGGTTCCTGGCTGGGATTTGTTTGGCTCCTAGGCTTGGAAAGACGTTCGACTGCATAAGACCACGTGGTTGAGGTCCGAGATCCTGCAGAGAGTCATCCAGGAGCTGCTTGTGGACTACTATGTGAAGACACAAGACACAAATCTAACTTCCGAGGACAAAAAGGTGAGGCAGAAGAGACGACGTAGGGGTGGGTTCCTAGCCATGGAATGACCACGCCAGCTGTGGCTTTGCCTGATTATGTGATCTGGGGGAACAGAAGCGCTGAGGAATAAGCTATCTAAAAAAGATATGAGCTGTAATTAAGGGAGAAGGATTGGGCGTGTTGTCAAGAGTTTTAAAAGAAAGCGCGGAAAGGAGGAGGTGTTTACAACTTGAGGGTTGGCTGCAGGAGACGACATGTTGGAGGACGTTAGAACGGTGTGAAGAACTACCTGGTCGGTGAGGGTGCAGGCGGTGTGGGGGAGACATTTTATAGTAACCCTTCCTTTTTTTCATTCTCTGTTTCAGTTTCATGAGACCCTGGAACAGCGGTTATTGGTGACTGAACTGACCCAGCTCTTGGGTCCCAGGCAGGAGAAGGAGGCGCCTTCATTGCTAGGGCTGGAGAAAGCAGACCTGCTGGAGCTCATGCCACCTGCAGAGGTTGGGGACAGGCAGATATTGTCACGAAAGAAACAAAATAGCTTAGTTTTCTCCATATCTAAAACCCAACTTTTTAAAAAATAAGATATGTTGTTTCTGTAAAAATGATAACATGTTCATGGCGGTCAAATTCAAGTCAGAAAAATGTTACCCAGAAGTAAACGCTCACGTTCCTCCATCTAAACATAAATCTCTTTTCTAGGTAGTATGATAGTCGGCTTGTCCTAAGTGGTATTATGCCTTCCGTACTTGCACAGGGAATCATCTGTTTCCACTTCCTAGATTTTGGGCATTTTCTTCTGGTCGATAAATAAATGTCAGTACGATGCTAGTTCCTAATGCGCTCTCGGCACACGGTGTGCAGGCACGTAGTCCTTGCTCAGTGTTCTTCATAGCCATGTGGCGACATCACGTATGAATGACGCATCAGCGTCATTTGGCTGACCTTATTAATGGACACCGAGGCTGCTTTCACATGTTCCCTGTCGGCCATCCCACCGATGGGAACCTGCTCGTCCATCCAGGGCTGCGCCCTGGTACGTTGGCGTGAGCAGCGGGAGCCCCGGGTCAGAGGACATGGCGCATAAAGCCTGCAGTTGAATTTCGCCAGACTGCTTTCCAGAAAGGTGGCGCCAGTGCTTCCGGCCCTTCCGTGTTTTCCTCACCGTGGGACCCTGACCTTCCTGTACTCTGTTAATTTGATAGGCCGAAAACGAATCTCCTGTGCATTGAGGTTGTGGGCACCGGCCGATGCACTGGCTGGATCTTGCTCGTTCTAAGAGTTCTCTTTGCTCTCTCTTTTACTTCTGGCTGGAGGACTTTCTGTGGATGAGAAGTCGGCTCCCGCTGGAAGTGGAGCAGCAGCTCAAGAGGAAGTGCTTCACACTGCTCTGCTACCACGACCCCAGTGCCGGTGAGTGCTGGCCCGCCCTGCCCGCAGCTGCCCTCCTGTGGCGCTGCCTGCTCGCAGGAGAACGTTGATGTGTTGTTGTTGTTGAAGTCGTTGTACTTTCTATTTGGGATAGAAGCGGAGAAGCATCGGAGACACTTGCTTGTTTGTTTTCCCATCAGTACTCAAAACTCGCGGATGGAGTCAATGCTGACTCACAGTGACTCCGTAGGACTGGGTAGAACTGCTCTGTGAGTTTCCGAGACTAACTCTATGGGAGTAGAAAGCCCAGCCTTTGGAACTGCTGACCCACTGGCAACCACTGTGCCACCAGGGCTGGCTGCTTCCCTGTCGGAGCACAAAAGCAAAGGGTTTTGTGGGGCTGCTCAGCTGGCAAGGTGCTCAGCAGGAGTTGCCCCGGGACAGGAAGGATGGGTGTGCTCTCCTTGGAGGACCAGCCGTGCAAAGCAGAGGAAAGTGTAGGCTCCCAGGTCTCCCCTCGTCTGCCCTGACTTTAAGGGTCAACACTGGGAGGTTTGATAAGTTGAATACAAAATCGATTATCTGGCATAGAAACCCCTGCCTAATACAGAATAAAAAATTAAGTTAAAAAAAAGTTTATAAATAAATAAATGAGGGCCCAGTCTGGAATTAATGGCGAGTAAATAACATTTAATTAGGAGAAAAACTAAAACTAAACCCATGGCCGTCGACTTGATTCTGACTCACAGCAGGCCTAAAGGATAGTCGGGTCTCCGCGGCTGTCAACCCTGATGGGAACAGACTGCCGCATCTTTCTCCCACGGAGCAGTTGGTGGGTCTAAACTGATGGCTTGTGGTTTAGCAACCAGATGCTTAAATCATTGAGCCACCGGGGTCCCTACCCAGTGTCACTGAGTCAATTGGAACTCGTAGCGACCCTACCCTACGTAGTGTCCAAGGCTGTAATCTTTAAAGGAGGATGTGTGTGTGTGGGGAGATTCTTAAGGGACCACCTAGCCTCATCTTTCTCCTAAGGAGCATCTGGTGGAGTTGAACCTCCGACCTTGAGGTTAGCAGTCCAGTAGTTGGGTAGGGGTGCTGGAGAATGGTTTGAGAAGGGCAGTGGTGACGAAGGTTCATCTGTTTGCCCAGATTCAGACAGCGAAACCCTGAAGGCTGCGAAGATGTGGAAACTGGCAGAGGCGCTGGTCAGTGAGAAGCAGCAGTGCCTGGACACCAAGAGCCAGCAGCAGGAGCGCGCAGTGCTCCTGGCGAAGCAGAGCGCCACCTACTCCCAGGTGGGTCAGCGTCTCCGGGCCATAGGGCGGCCTGTGGGCAAGCTAAGTGGGTGAGGCTGAGTTGTCTAGAGAAACATCACCAGTGACATGCGTGCACGGCTAAGAAAGAACTTTATATCAAGTGACCTTCTACCAAGAAGGGAGCCCAGCCCAGTCCAACTCGAGTCCATGCTGGCCGGGGCCCTGGTCAGCCTCACATAGCTGCAGGCTGGTGATGTAGACAAAGGGCTTGGGAGGATGAAGCAGTACTCGCTGCCTCTTCTAGAGACGCCGGTCAGCCCCCAAGGAGGCGCCATCAGGCTGTGACCGGAAAGGCTGGACTCAGCCCCTACCCTTCACACAGCTCCAACTCACACTGGTGGTTTCTGGTCTGCCCTCCTTTCTCCTCATATGTTTTTGTGGGATGCTGTTTATCATACTGATTTGTAGGGACTCTGACTATTAACTCGTTGCTGGGGTGCAGTTCCGACTGGTGCCCCTGTGTGTCTGAGTACACCCGTGCTCCACAGGATGTTCATTGGCTACTTGGTCAGAAGTAGACTGCCAGACCTTTCTTCCATGCGGCCTCTGGGTGGCCTCAGATCGCTGACCTTTTAGTTAACAGCCAAGTGCATTAAAAACTTATAGAATATTATGCTTAAATAAAGCTTTGGCATGACGCCAAATGCAAGAAGCTCACAGGCCAGTGGGTGGAAAGTCTTGTGGATCCAGTGGTGGTGGAACCATCTCAGCACTGGCGTAACCATAACTCCTGTAGCTCCAGAGCTCCGGCTCTTACCAGCATAGCTCCATGTGGCTTGTCAACAGGAATGTCTCGCAGGGAGTGAGTGTATCTGGCCTCCAGCGAGCTATGTGTCTCTGTTACACCTCCAGATGAGGTCATCAGGCTGCGACCTGATTGACAGGCTAAACCCCACCCCTTCACTCTTAATAGTCTCAAGTTGACACCAGATTATGCAACTACCGCAGACCACCCCTTGTCAACCTGACACTTTCATACAGCTCTCTAGCCATATGTAAAACAAGCAATAATACAATATCTGTACTGAACAGGACAAGACTAAAATGCATACAGTTAAAAGATGTGCCCTCTGTCCATCTGCTGTTTATGACACCCCGCCCCTTCTTCCTGCCCCTGGGGCCCAGGTGCTTCTCCGGTGCCTTGCCTTGCTCCAGAGGCTTCTTCAGGAGCACCGGCTGAAGACTCAGTCAGAGCTGGACCGTATCAGTGCCCAGTACCTGGAGATCAAGTGCAGCGCCATGGTCCTTAAGCTGAGGTAGAGCTGTGACCCCGTGGATCTAAGGAACTCTGGCCAGCCCACTCCTAAATCCTCACCCTCCTCTTTCCCTGTCTCCTCGCCCCCACCCTAAGGCTGTCAGCATTCTTGTCTTTTGTTTTAAAGCCTCTGTAATCATGATGAGGTACATTGCTCAGGGCTTCAGAGGGACCTGGTTTATCCCATCACCGCGGGCTGCTTCCTTGACCGTGGGCAGGTGCCAGGTTCCATTCCTCACTGCGCCACTGCCAGGGAGCTCAGTTGGACATTTTCTTCCCCTTCTGTCAGGATGGAGGAGCTAAAGATTTTGTCTGATACTTACACTGCTGAGAAAGTGGAAGTTCATCGTCTGATTCGGTGAGCGCTCCCAAGGAGCTGGCCCAGCTGTTCAGAGCTGGCTGCCATGTCCTCCTAGACGTGTCCCTGTCGGCCTGTGCCTGCCCCGTGTGCCTTCTGAGGACGCAGCTCCTCATGCTGTTCCTTCTGTGCCCGGGCTCTCAGGGATCGTTTGGAGGGGGCCATTCGACTGCAGGAGCAGGACATGGAGAAGTCTCGGCAGGTTCTGAGCACCTACGAGGTCCTCGGGGAGGAGTTTGACCGGCTGGTGAAGGAGTACACCCAACTCAAACAGGCAACCGAGAACAAGCGCTGGGCCCTCCAGGAGTTCAACAAGGCCTACCACTGAGGGTGGGGCACTGCTGCTTTCCCTCTCCGATGACCGTGTGACTGACCTTCCCCTGGGGCCACTGCCCACACAGGGCTGGAGACTGCTTAATGCACTGCAATCGGTCAGACACTTCTGGGTTGTTTTTTCTTTACAACTGAGCCTTTTCCAGAAAACATAGCAGAATTACATCGTTTTCTGTAACAGCTGTTTGTGACCATCAGTTCTGTATTGTTTTTGATTATCTTCTAAATAAAGTGATAGTAGTATGTTGTAAGATTTTAGCTGTTTTCCTGTGGGCAAGAATGGAAAAAAGAACCTCAGAGGCTCCGAACAAGGAGGGGAGCAGTGATGGAAATACACAGAGACAGATCTATAATGCTTATGCAAAAGATGGGAGGGGAATGTGCCAGCCCGCCCCCCTGGAGTCCGGGAGAACAGAGGTGGATTAGATCTGGACATGCCCCTGAAGAGGCATGTCATCTCCACACGAGTGCTCGGGGCCAAGAGCAGGAGGGAACTGCTCCGTGGCCCTGAGGAGCTAAAGCAGTCATGTGTTAGTCTGGGTAGACTAGAGAAACAAATTCATGGACACTCGTGTATAAGAAAGAGTTTTATATACAAAGACCAGTTGACTATTGAGAAACCATCCCAGCCCAGAAAACATCAAGTCCCTAAGTCTGATATTAGCTCATATGTCCAATACCAATCTGTAAATTCCTCTTCAGACTCATGAAACACATGCAATGACACCAAATGCAGGAAGATCACAGGCCAGTGGGTGAAAAGTCCTGTGGATCCCGTGGCAGTGGGAGCAGCATCTCAGTGCTGGCATGGTTCTCTGCGTGGCTTCTCCAGCTCCAGGATCTGGCTGCATCAGCATAGCTCCATCCGGCTTCCTGTCAGTAATGTCTCGTGGGGAGTGTGTGTGTGTGTGTGTGTGTGTCCCACCTCCAACGAGCTATTTATCATCTTAGCACCTCCAAATGAGGTCTTCAAGCTGTGATCTGATTGACAGGCTATATTCCACCCCTACACAAGTTGATACCAGATTATGTAACTACTACAGACCACCCCTTGTCAACTTGACACTTTTACACAACTCTTTAGCCATATGTGATTTTTAACAAACAATAATTTTTAAAAATTAAATCATATCTGCACCTAACAAGATAAAACCAGAAAGCATGCAATTCAATATGTGCCAAAGCACAAATTCTTAACAACCCTGTCCCCCTTGTACTAGGTTATGAACTTCATACCAGTCAACCTGCTCTCATTTTCTCTAGTCTCTGTGAACCAGGTCCACGGGTGTCAGTGGCCAGACTCAACCTGTCTCTATTGCTGCATTTCTCCCACTTCCACTCAACAAGTGGATCCAGGTGGTCACCTAGCAAGCATTTCAGCCCGCCCACAGGCTCCCTTTAACGTTCAGTCCTAGAGAGTAGTTCTCTTAATGGTTCCAGACTTTTTCCAGCTTCTGACAAAAACTACTAGTTAAAAATTAACAAATCCAAGGAGTTCCATTTTTACCCCCTTAAATCTGCCAACAGCCCCCTACTCAAGTCTCTTCACCTTTCAGAGCCTGCTTTGCAGGCGTGTCCTAAACCAATTTAAAGATCAAATTTTGATGGTTGAAGGCAAGGCTTACAAACTATTTTCATAATTCCCAACCATAATTTCTATCAGTTATTATACAGTAGAACCCAGGACCTCAACGCTAATCTGTTCTAGAAGGAGTGTCAAGATGCAATGCAGTTGAGTTCTGAATCAATTTTTCCCATAATAAATAACTAATTAATTTGTTCTCAACCACCAAGTTTTTACCCTAAGTTCCAGGGTCCACTTAGATTAGGCCAAGCTGGGAGGAGCCTTGGCTTGTGTCAAAGGTGGCAACAGAACAGAAACAAGCTTGTACCCTAATTGACAGAGGCTGTTCAGCTTCTCCAACCACAGGCCAGGGAAACAAGGCCTTCTCCCCTGTGATGCTCTTAGATTGGTTTTCAGAATAAATTAAGGTCTGTGGTACAACTTAAAATTTTTCTCCTGTAAATGGTGCTTGCTTAGCCAAGTGTTAGCCTACACAGATTAATAAACAGCACATCAAACTCACCAAGTTGGTGCCAGCTCACAGTGACCCTATAGGCAGGTTAGAACTGCCTTGTGCCTTTCTGTAAGTGTGTACATAGCATCTGTCTCCCTCGAACAGACAGTGGTTTCGAACTGCTGACCTTTCAGGTTGCAGTCCAACTTGTAACCACTACTCTGCCGGGGCTCCTAAATAGTTTTTTGGGTTTTTATATTTTTTCTCCTAAATTGTTTCCTTGGAAAAACTTAGAAATAATTTATATTGCCTAGTTCTTAATTTTCCCCTCAATGTTTTTGGGGAGAAGTTTTCAAACCTATAGAAAAGTTGAAGGGATCTAATACCAGCAACTTACGCTAGATTCAACATTTTCTTTACTTTCTTTCCTTCCCGCTTTCCTTTTTTTCTATTATGTAATATGTAGTCTCCATATAAAACGATATTTTATACATAATACATAATTGTATGTTATAGACCGTACCTCCATACGTCTATCTCTAGTTTATACCAGAATATATTATTTATGTAATGTAGCATATGTTTGATCTAATATACTAATTATAGAAATGCTATTATAAATATATGTTGTATATGTGTATTAGAGACACATACGTAAAGAGGATCTACAATATACATATAGTTACATATAACATGTAATATAGTGTATTTAATATGCCATTATTATATTAACCTAGTATATTTTAATATATTTATTATTATTATATTTATTTATTTATTAACCTAGTATATTTATAATGTTATAGTACTAGAAATATATATATAATATGCATGTAATTTTACAGTATATAATATAGTTGCGTTAGGCTGGGTTGACTAGAGAAACACTCAGTGATACTCATATATGTTGAGAGAGAACTTTATATCAAGAGGTAATTGTAAGCACTGATGAAACACACAACACTCCTCTGGTTCTTTGAGGCTTCCTCACCCCCCACTATCATGACCCCAGTCCTGCCTTTCACTTTGGTCCAGACTGGAGCATGTGCACAGATGAGAGCTAACAGCTCACGACACATGGAACTCAGGAACAGGAGTGGGAATAGCAATACCAGATGGGGAAGGTGGAGAGAAGAAGGGAGGAAGGGGAACTGATCCCAATGATTGACACATAACCACACAAATCCTCTCCAGGGGGACAACCAGCAGAAACCATGGGGGAAGTGAGACAGTGGTTGGTGTAAGATATGAAAATAATTTATAATTTATCAAGGGGTCATGTGGTGGGGGGGAGGGAAAAAAAAGGAGAAGCTAATATCAAGGGCTCAACAGAGAGTAAATCTCTAGAAAGGAATGATGGCAACACATGTACAAATATGCTTGATACAATTAATGTATGGGTTGTTATAAGAGTTGTAAGAGCCCCCAGTAAAAGGATCTTTTAACTTTAAAAAAAAGGTGATTATATATCAAGGAAACATCCCAGCTCAGTCCAGAACAAGTCCGTAAGTCCAATTCTAGTCCATAAGTCCCTCTTCGGACTCACACAGCCACGTGCAGTGATGCAGGTTGCGGGGAGAGCATGGACCGGTGGGGGCAGAGTCGTGTGGATCCAATGGCGGGTCTCTGGCCGCTCTCTGAGTGACTGGACAACAGGAAGGTGAAGCCGGGAGAGAAAGGCAAGGTTCCTAAGACCCTCCTTATTAGAAGGCCACACCCCACAAGGAGGCATCATCAGGCTGTGACTTGACTGACAGGCCGAACACCTCGTCACTCAAACCTTCAAGTTGACACAAGATTATACAACTGCCACAATAGTATATACCATATGGATAATAACCAAAAAACTAAACTTCTGCCCCCTGTGGATTCCCGAGGCTGTAAATCTTTATAGCAGTAGAAAGCCTCATTTTTATTCCTGGGAGTAGTTTATGGTTTCGAACTGATTTTATGGTTAGCACCCCAACAAGAAACTAACTATGCTGCCAAGGCTCCTTACTGTAAACAGTAATCTAATATATAAGTATATATTACAGTATCAATATATACACAGAGATAGCTACAGAAAATA